GCCAGGCGGCAGAAATATATAATTATAATAAAGTTACAATAAATTAAGTTAATATATAATTATATATACAGTACCTAATTTATATATAATTAATATATAATTATATGTACTGTACAGTACCTAATTTATATATAATTTATATATAATACTGTACAGACGATAGTAATCTCTCTGTAGCGTGGCGCTTGACGGCGGAAAATAGTTCGGCTGCCCGATGACGTTTTACGTAATTATAGGAGTTTGTTTACCATTTTTTACAGATATCGTCGCAATTTTTTCGCAGATTTATAGGAATCATAATTATAGGAACCTGTTTTATAGGGGTCTACTGTATATTTGAAATAATAATTAAAATGTCAATTGGCTACGATCTGAAAATTCGTTTAACTATACAAAATTTTTATTCATTGGCAATTATTAAAGTAACGACACTTACCTTCTGTAATTATAAATAGAATTTGTATCTTTTTTTAAGAATAGGAACTCCTTGTTTTCTAATAAATTCCTAAAATCTATTTTGCTGCAACATACTAATTTATGCAAACAAATTGAATAAAAAGTAAATTAATTTGCATTAAAGTAAAATATTCTGTTGCCGAGAGGTTTGACAAACAAGTTAAGTACATTTAAATATGTGTTTGACGATGTTACCAATCAACAAGATTTATTTAAATGATCCAATACATTATAAGTGAAAGTATTGTCTTTTAATTTAAGTTGTAATATCATTGAATATGTACAAAGTTATTACTTAAGAAAACTGGACAAGACACTATCAGCTTAGACACCATTGCATATGTATTCATGTCTATGTAATTTATACATAGGGTAAAATTATTTTAATGAAAACAATTTTACAAATTGTATGTATTACATAGTGGTATGCAAAATTAAGTGAACAAATGTTTTTTTGAATAGATCTCTAAAATTATTTAAGCCTAAAAGGCCAAAATTAGCACATTTGTAGGCCTAAATTTATTTCATAAATTCACTTCTCACAATTATTTGATTTTGTGCACTGGAAATATGCACATTTTTAATCCTTGATAAGTACTTGCTGTTGATACATTGTATCTCTTTTCTTTTAAAATTTCGTACATTTTGAATAAATTCTTATGTAATGGCTTTATGCAATTGTTTATCAGTTGATTTGTGAAGGAGAGCTGTCGGAAGGATGGAAGCAGGCCAATTCCAGTCCAAAGTTGCAAAATGGCATAATGTTAACAGAAATGTAATCTGTCAGCTCCGGAAGCAATTCCAAGAAACCGAAACCATTGCCAGCGGACCAGTACAGAACCAAATAAGATCCATGCATTCAGATTTTATCTGACTGCTACTGCTAAGAGTGATAGGGGACAGCTATTAAGCTCTTTCTTCAACAAGTTCTTGACTACCTTTTGGAATGATTGTTTCAAGGTAAACTGTTAATTGAAGGCTTTGGGAGGGTGGTTTTTTTTCCAAGATGATCAGTACCATGTATCCTTCTTATACCTTCCTACAGGAGAGCCTGCTTGAATTGGTGTCGTGAACATCAGTCATGAACCCAGGATTGACAGGCTCACATTCGCTTCAGCAGTGAGTTGCAATTCAATGATTTACAACAAGTCTTCCACATCTCAAGAGAGCCTAGGTGCCACTAACATCGGGGAGAGAGAGTTTTGGAGGGTTCTTGTGGTCCGGGCAGGCATCGTTTTGAACGGCCATAAACCTCTCTGCATGTTTGATTGAGGCGCCCTTAATGCCAAAAGTATAGGGATCAGATCCTCAAGCACTAAGTAAGACACGGGTGTTGTTGGCCCCCAATTTGTTTTTATTCTTGCAAACACAAGATTGCTACACATAATAGGTACTGCATATAAGGGGTTAATTACACTCGCAATCATATTTATTGTTGTGACTTACTTATTGTTTGGATGAAGTTTCCATTCACTAGTTAAGGTCGTTACAGAATAATATATGTTAATGTAGAATATTACAAATGTAAGTTATGGCAACTCATTAAAAAATCAATTATAGCGAATAAAGAATTAATTTATTCTTACTTTTCACAAAACACAGGTTGAGGGAAGTTCTGGAGGCATCGTCCGACCACGTTCCTCTTAAAGTTCAAACAGAATATTTTATTCTGATGGGAAGAAAAGATGTCGATCAACGTAATTATTAATTTACTAAAGCCAACCACTGCCGTATGCCATCGGGCTATATAACAACTGTAATAACAATAAATTACCAAACAATTTGACAGAGGGAGGCGTTAGGCGCCATCTCGTATTAAATTTAATAATAATAATTGTAATTTACGGTAATTTTTTAATAAATATAATTGTAATTACGGTACTAATGTATCGGGTTTTCGTAGTGTTGTAATTATTATTTATATTTATTTTTAGACTGATTTTAATAAGTAATAATTTTTTTATAAACTGATATTTTGATTGCGTTTATTTTCATTTATATATTTATTCAGTTTGTTTTTTCTTCCGAAAAGGAAAATATGCAGTATTTGCTGGCGACTCCATTAATATAACATAAGGGGTTCCATTTAAAATCAGCCTATTTGCATGAAAAGCTTTTTCATTTCGGATTTATTTTTAGTAGAAAAATGCACACACAGAGAAGATGCCGTGTTGATTTACAAGGAATTTCGTTTCCATTTCCGTGCACCCATTATCAAGTTTAGGTACACAAAACGATAACTTTCGTAGTCTCGAAATAGTCATAGTAGATAGTAGAATATTCCTTATCATCTTATCTAAAATATGAGAATACGATTTATAATCTTTGCACTTCGAGTATTCTCTCGGACAAAAATTACGTGTCGACAAATGCGTAGGTGGAAAATTTTGCCGGTGGTTTGTTCCTCTGTGAAAACTTAGCCAATTCGAATCGTTAAATTGCCAGACGTACGTACTGCCGTGTCATCGATAATAATAGTTCTGGCAGTGGAAAATTATTTATAATTATCGGCGAACTACTTGAAAATTTCAATACTTTAAGAATGCGTACTAAAAGTAAACCAAGAAGGATTCCACTTACGTCAAGCAACAATGAAACCACTTTAGAATGTTTTTTAAAATAATACCCGTGTCTTGTACAGTACGTATGTATTATTATTGTCACAATATAAAATCTGTTTTTGTATTAGGTACGTAATAAATGTTCTTACATGCGATTAGTACCCACCAGTGGCCAAGCGGTCTTCGTACCCTGAACACTGGGAGTTTGGTCGTGGGTTCTCGCTTCGCTCGGACGGGATGGCCACGTGGAGTTTTCCGGGTTTTCTCCATGTCTGTAACGTCTAAATAGGAGGCCCCGCAGAAAGCCGTTAATGTGGAGAAAACAGTGTCTTCAGTTTGTTGGTCAGATGGGAAGCCATAACCGGTTCAGTGGTTTTTTACCTATTCATCCACTGGTTGTGTGTGGAGGAGTACAGAACCATAAGCGGCTAACTCTATATTTTAAAGAATTCCTATTGCTGTATATTCAACACGTTCTATTGGGATCATAGCATACGTGTAAAATTTCAAACGATTACATAAAATAGCGAATTTTTGGTAGGTTCAATTTTCAAATCCCGTTTTCTGAACATTGCGGTTTCACGGTTAGCCGTTTATGGTTCTATACCCACAATATATATATGTACATAAATGAATACATATAATACTGTTATATGTATAAACAATTGTATATTCACAATTAACAATTTTACACGAAACCTTTGACTGAGATAATTTTAATTGTGTACAAGTAAGTTACATGATTGTTTATAGTATACGATTTGCCCGATCTGCGAATAGAACCTCGATATTCCTTTTTTTTCTCTCTAATTTCTATCTAATCCATTAATTGTAAAGACGGATCGCCATTCGTAACGTGTCACACTTTATTTCCCATAAATGATCGGCAGCATCTGACTGTATATGCCCACGTAAATTGCTTTATACCCTTTGGATTCTTAGAATCCATCTTACGTCGGTTCGGAAATTTGATTGAAAATTTCGAACGGAGTGACTAACACAGAGTAGATTTTACAAAGTTACGGACTAAAGGTGGAGTTCTTTGGATTATTGAAAACACGGAATAAATGACTTACTCCGTTTTCAGTAATGCTCTTATTCCGTGACTGGAAAAGTCCAAGAAGTGTCTTTGGCATAACTTGCATCATCCCAGTTCCAAGTCTTCATTAATTCTTATGAAACTAATTCCCCATTGAAATACAAGGAAGTAGTGATGGTGCGATGCTGAAATATATGAAAGTCATCTCCGACCATACAAACGGTTAAAGATGATTTGTAGTTCACTTTCTGTCGATAGCCAATGAATGCATCTCTTACATCGATGTTTAACTCCAACGAAATTCGAAAAACATACGCAACGAATAACTTAAGTGGCAAATCTTAATTCGGCCGATTTATAGGCACGAACTGCGCATCACCTGGCGATATAGCGAAATCTAGTACGTTAATTAGTAGAAATAAGAATTTTTCCGACAATTTCCCATCTTTAAAGTCGTAAAACGTTCCGTGCGAATGGAATCCAACGAAGCTCGATAGTCAATTTAGGCAAATACGTATTAAAATATTAGGACACGGTGTAAATTTATTGCATGGTGTTGTCCGACTTGTAATTCGGGTGGTAGACCCACTTAAACACGTTCGTTTGCCACGATATCCGTTTTGTAACTTCTAATTTGAAAATAACCGATCAAATCGCGAACGGTAGTCCGTTATATTATTTTCACCTCTCCACCGCGTGGGCATTAAAAGGGCCTTTTTCAAGCAGATCGTAAATTGGGTGGGGCTGGCGACTTCATTCCACCCTTGAAAAATTCCCGGGTTCTCCAGAACGATAGGATGAGGCCTTTCGTCAGGCTATATGTATGGGCTTCTATTTGGTATATATTCACATCCGAGCCGGAATTTGTTGCTAGTTCGATGCTGCTCGTGTTTAATGTGAAAAGAGTACAATAAAATATGCGTATTTACAAAAAATTATCAATCTGAATATCGAATACATTAAGAAAATAAACCAATTATTTCGTTTAATGATCACTCATTCCTGAATTCTTCGTAAGGAAATTTAACGAATTGTGTGTATATTTTTCTATATTTTTACACGCGAATATTTTGATATTAAACGTGTAGACACGATTCGCACGAGCGACTTTGCTTACGTAATCTTCCGTGTTAATTCGTTTCGTAACCTAACGGGCATTTCACGATTTTTTGAAAAGCGGCGTTGCGAAACTATTGGATAAAACGTATCTCGTCCTTCGACAATCGAACGTTCCCAGAATAATGTTCCCAGGTTTGATAATAGATTTATGGAAAAAGATTGAATTGGACATCCGACATTCGTCCATATTGTAAAAAAACATGTCGGTACCAGGCGATAAGATCTATAACGATTGGAGCTTTTTAAAATATTTTGATTATTATTTTATATTGGAAATGATAAAACGTTTTATATTTATCGTTAAACATCAAAACGTTTTACTATTTTCGCGGGGGGAGGGGGTTATGAGAATGTTTATCTTCCATTTCCAGCTATTTTCTGCGTGTTTTAAGCGCCAAAATATAGTATAATTCGATTTTTTTTAGCACAACCTATTATTTCTTGTACACAGCGGCGCACATGGAATACGAAGAAAAGAAACACAAGATGTAAAAAAGGGCATCGTACATAATGCAAGATTCTTCCAGCTACGATTAAATGTCGGATCGGCACTCCACAAGGTGGCGCTGGTTACAACGGGGGGGGGTAACTTTGCGTGGAAAACTAGGAATGTTCCTTGTTTTCCAGGCCAAGTTTTAGTCAATATACGTGGGACTATGGACAAATATCGTTCATTGGTTTCGTTTATATTTGCGGAATAGACTAGAAGTTATGAATTTTCTGTTGTTTGTCTATAATGGATTTTGGGCTCTTCTTGGGGATTAATAAAAGGGCAACACAGATAAAAAGGGAACACGAGAGGCAACGCTCGTATAGTAATATCTGTATTATAATATTATACATCTGTATAAAATTTCTCATATATATATATATATAAATGAATGTGTGTGTCTGTCCTTCATGCATTACCACACCGTTTATCCGATTGCCGCGAAACTTTGGGAAGTTGTTTAATATACTCCCGCGAAAGTTTCTGGCATAGTACATTTATCCTACGATAGATGGCGCGCGTTTATACGAGCACACTTTCTTCTCTTTGCTA